AAGTGCTGAAGGGAACAATGTCATTCCACCGATGATGCTAAGCGCTGTGAGAGTTACGCTGTAACCGGGCATATTCTCTTGAATTTCGGAAGCACCGTAATCCACCATCAAAATGTGAATCACGGACAATGTCATAGCTACTATGTATCTACCATCCAGCAGTAGTTCCACGGCTGCCGGAATCGTCGCGAACCACGATGGAAATATCGGCAACAAAGGGCTGATGAGAGCAAGCATTGTTGACATGTATACAAAGTGTATGTCAAACAGTCTGAATAGAAGCCATGTGGTACATCCTTGAAAGAACGCAATCTGAGCCGTGGCCAAAAACACACCAGAAACAGCATGGTCAAGAACTTCAACACATCGAGTGCGAGCCGATTCCGATATCGGGATCATAGCCATAACCTGTTCAGTGACCCCGCCGGATTCCGATGTGGTGAGGTAATAAAGAACCCAAAAGAACACTATTAACTGAGATAGAAAGTTCAAGACCTCAGCAGCTCCGGTGATGATGGAATTGGCAATGGTAAATATGATCTTTGCAGTTTGCACCACCTGTAAACACCCTCTGTGAAACATTTGCACCTTTAACAGCAAACCCTTTAGCCTTCTCAATCAAATCCAACCTCGTGATTATGAGTTCTCGGAAAATCAAATCGACCTCCGTGTAAATTTCTCCCCATTCACGGTTTCTAAGCCTCTCCCTCAACGTCAAAACCATCTCAGTGAAAGGAGAAGGGTTCATCAGAGCCGCAGATTGCTCCGATGAACTGTCATTCATCGATGTAATCACAAAATGCTTGATTCCAGTCACAAATTCAGTCATATTATACTGCATTGCCAAACTATCAATCTGTTCAGAAACTGTTTGATAAAACTGTGTAGAGTACTTATCCACCATTTCAGGGACATCATTCTCTTCTATCCATTGTTTAAGACCGATTTTCTCGGCATAGTTACTCTCTCGCAACCGAGATTTCACCGCAATCACGGTATCTTTCCCCTCAACACCGATCTTATACGAGAAAAACGTAGCTCCGGCAATAAACCCCACAATCATACCGATTATCAATCCAATTGCCACAATGGAATCCAACCTTTTCAATATCCCATTTGTCAAATAAGAACTAATCGCACTTCTTCTGAAACGAGTGCTCCTAAACGATGAAACAGCAGACATCGTTGAATCCACATTGTTATTGCTAATCTTGAAACCCAACATGATGATCAACAATGACCCAACACTACCGATTGTCTCATAGACAATTAGAAAAACAAAAAACGAGACAAGCCACTTCATTAGCTTTGAAAATATTCTCTTATTAAGCCTTGAAAGCTTGGATTTTGGTCTCTTGAGAAACATCCTTAATATCAACAAGGGTCACTATAAAAGCCTTAAAGACAGCAACAGGGACAGAGAGAACAGTTTCAGTGAGGCCTAGTTTCAAAGGCTCTCTCCAAAATTCAACAAGGGCTTCATGAATACCTCTCAAAGGAATCGAACACAAAATTGCCCATTGAATCGTCCTGAGATACTCTTGCAAAGCCCGTATAAAATGCACAGTGTGAGGGCAAGACCGGCATGAGCCATGGCAATGTAAAGGGCTAAACGTACCTCGGGATCACCTGAGAGGCTGTTTCTATAAAATGGGTCGGCGGCGTTTCGTGCCCGGGGTGGCGCGTGGGTCATTGATGCAGATCGAAACATGTCTCGCCATGGAATTAACTCCATTTTCCAAGCTAGTGTAGAACAATGATCATAAAATATTAACAACTCAAATCTACACAATAAAAATGATTTCTGAAATAATTAAATTCTAAATGATCTGAACTTCAGATAAATATCCGAAATAATTTATTAGATTAATTTATAAAGGGTTGTAGAATAGTTTGTAGATTATAAACTCTTATTAAAATAAAATTTAATAAATAATAGAATAAACTACATAAATGGTCACCAAACTTTTAGGGATCTTGCATTTTGGTCACCCTTTACTTTGACTCGTTTGTTTACCTGAAATCCCTCTGGTGCATAAGAAGAGATTGTGGTGGCATATTCTTTGAAGAAACAGTCGTCGGTTTCCAATAGTTTACTTGACTAAATCGTTCAGTCACCACCAAAGAGGACGGCAAAAATTATCCGTCAATTGCCATCAGCGACAGCACTCTTCACAATGGTTCATCGATATCTTCATTGCAAAAATCTCTATGGTCATGTCATGCAAGCAAAGATTTGAGTTCTTATAATGTTTATCAAAACACCACCAACTTCACGCCTTAATGGGTTCATTGGTACGTGAAGAAGGGAACATATATTCATTGGCAGCCTATAGGGATTTGTTTTATCCTTAGTTCAGAAAGGTAGAACATTGAGGTTTGGAGGATTATCCAATAAATATTTGTTTGTGAAGAGTCAAGGAAGTGTGGTCTCTCTTCGCATCCACGCAAAGGAGAACACAGATACTTTTAGCATTTAGAAATCAAAATAGTAAGCACTTGAGGTAGGGACGTGTTGGTAATAAAAGATTATCGGGGACTGGGAATGTTGGCCAACCAAACGGGGAAATGAGGATTTCATTCCCCCCGGTAATAAAATATACCTTGAACCAAACAGACCCTTAGAGTTGTCTATAAGTTTCGTTAATTCTCATCTTTTACAAGTTGGAAAAAATATTGCCGACAAGTGCAACGGTAAAAGATTAGTTCAGTAGGGAAGAATGGGTAGCTGAAATGAATGACTTTAGCTCGACACTTTTGTTTTCAAAACTTTGTAATTGTACCTATCCCCCGTGCATCATGTGAGAGGACCCTATATTTATCTTTTGCACACTGCCCTAACTCCAACAACAACAACAACAACAAAATCATATTCCCATATGCAATGGGGTAGGGGAGGTAGGGTAGTAGGCTGCCCCCAACGTCAAGATTGAGAGCAGCTTCCGTGGAAGACATCCGACAGTCAGAAAATTAAAAATAAATATAAAATGCAATGCATGTATAAATACATAAATAAATACATAGTTGAACAGTCTTCATATGCAGTCTTCATATACGCGTCAGTAATGGGAAGTAATCCATGCAAATAATTTTCTGCGTAAAAATCTCTGCATATAGATAGAAACGTAAGACCCGACTAAATTTAAAAAGTGGAAACCTGAATAAAATGATACACAGAAGTCAACGATAGCAAGCTACGAGAAGAAATAAAGTCAAATGGGTTAAAACCTAAACTAAGGCAACAGTACACCGCTACCCTAGTTCTAAATCTACATAATTAAATTATTAGATCAAGTGTCAATTTGCTGAAGCATCTTGATTGACAATAGGAGTTTGTGACATAAAAAGCTGATTTCCTTGCAAGAACAATTGAAATAATTTATAAACTCACTTTGAAAGAATTTGTGGCAAAAAATAAAAATGCACGATGAATGTATGGTCAAAACCATACCTTTCACTTCTTCCTTCCAACGATTGATGTCTTCTAAGTCTTTTCTGTTGCACTTTATTACTAAGCCAATTTTATCAATTGTTATGTCATATGTTGTTAGAAACGATGTGTTATTCATTTGTAATTTTTTATAGTTTAGGGACTCAATAAAAAATATCCTAAACTCGGGGGATTATTTTCATAGTTTACTCATTTTTCTTACTGAAACAAGAGATGTATCCGATGGTCAAAATCTATGATATCTATTTTCATGCATGTGTTTTTCGAATGGGATGGAATCAAAGATGCGTACAAACTTGATGTATGTATATATATATATATATATATATATATATATATATATATATATATATATATATATACTGCATTTGGTGGTTGATGAAGAGTGCAAGGACATGAGAGACAAAAAGGAAGATGTACCATCTTCTTCCTTCAACATCCATGTTTGATCCACCCACGTCTTTTTTCAAGTACACCGCTCCATTAATATCATCCCATCCTGGTTATGATCTTACCATATCATCCTCTATCGGGATGGATCAAGTGAGGTTGATGAGCAGTATCTTTCTAAATATTTTAAATTTTCATATAATTCAGATTTTTTTGTACCCTTTTATTGATCATTCGTTTTCGTCTTCTAAAATTTTATAAATTTATCTCAATAATATAAAATATTGTGCTCTTCTCTATCCTGTACGGGTCATTTATCTCCCCCACAATTAGGGATGTGCAAAAATCTGAAATTTTTGATTTAATATGTTGATCTAAAATTCGGATTGGATATCCGAGAAAAAATTGAATAATTGGATGAGATATGGATCTCTTAAATTCTAATTTTAATTTGTCCAAAAATTTGATAAAAATTGGACCTTTAGAGTTTAGACAACATTTAATCCAATAAACGAGTAATCTACTGACACACTAAGGTCATAAGGTTGAATCCCAATAAAAATTAGGATGTTTAATTGTTTTTCTATTAATCTAGGGCGATTATAATTGATAGTATTTGTTTCAATAACTCTCAATCATTTAACAATCTCTTTAACTACTGAGGTAAGTTGATTCGTATAGATATTTAATTATTTATTATACGTGAATAATTATATATATATATAATATCTAATATCCAAAAATGTAATTAATGACCGTAGATCTCACTATTGGTTTACATGATTAAACAAATTAATATATGATGTTTCCTTAACTTCACCGGAATCCCATGTCATCGGATCACGCAAAAGAAAATTGTAAGAAATGATGACATGTGGCATCATGGTATCATCATTCATCTCATTCATCCCTTGAACCTCACAGCTATTTATGGAGTTTGGTGCCACCCTCCTACCTAAATATCTCGTCCCATTTTTTGAAATTTCCAGTAATTAACTTTAGTAGGAGTGTAGGACACTTGTCCATTCCAATCTTAAATTCTTTTTCTTTGTAAATTTTCGATTTTTCATTTATCTGTTCATTTCTGATTTGATGCAAGACCCCATCTTTTGAAGAAAAAAAATTGCAACTTTATCTCAGGGTTTTCTTTTTGTTCTAGAAAAATGGGGTTTTTTATATGTTTCTGCCTGAAGAACATGTAGCAGAGATCCGAATAGATGCAGCTTTTGAGTGTGGGGATGGGGTTGTTGGATTGTCTGTTGAGTGCAGAAGCCAGAAAATCCATCAAACGAAAAGACAGCGATGCAGGTGAAGCAGGTTCGGTTGAGATTTTCCTTGTACATTGTCGGATTCATGTTTTGTCTGTGATTCTGTTTCTCTTAACATTATGATTCTTTGTTTTTTTCCTCTCTGGTTTTCTGAATGTTGTTTAGCATTCATAGTGATTTGGCATTCTGCAATTGAAATGGGTTTTCATTGTCATGTCCATTGTTGTGCATTGCTAGAGTTGTAATGGAAGACAACGTGATGGATTTTGATCTGAATCTCTGTTAAAGATGTCATATTTTTTATGGTATAATTAATTCAGACCGATATGGTAACGGAGACGATCCTTCTAATCTGATTTATTTCGTTTACCACGTCGAAATTCGAATTCATGAACTTAATACCTCATGCATATTTCTTCACCAGGTAAAGCATTGGAAGAACTCAGAGGCTCCCTCTACAATGAACTTAGAACCTCAGAAGGAGCCAAGCGCCAACAGCAACAATTTTGCGGACCGGTGGTCGCCATGTCCTTCAATTTCTTTGTCGCTGTCGCTATTATTCTGACAAACAAACTTGTTAGTTTCTTAAAATATGTACATCGATACGAGGATTACAATATGTTCATTGAGGATCTTATATGAATCATATTTGATTTTTCAGGTGATGGGGAGAGTTGGATTCAACTTCCCAATCTTCCTAACCCTGATACATTACACCGTAGGGTGGCTGTTACTAGCATTTTTCAAGGCGTTGTCATGGCTTCCAGTTTCCCCTCCGTCCAAAACGACTCCTTCCTCGGCCATCTTTTCGTTGGGAGCTATAATGGCTTTCGCATCTGGCCTTGCCAATACCAGCCTCAAGTATAACAGGTCTGCAAATCCAGGTTCAGATTATCGATTTTGAGAAACTGATTCGGTTATTATTCTGGTTTTCCTCACCATTTAAGCTCACTTCTGCAGTGTTGGTTTCTACCAAATGGCTAAAATTGCAGTCACTCCTACGATCGTTCTCGCAGAGTTCGTTCTCTTCAGGAAAACCGTATCTTTCAAAAAGGTAACTGAAATTTATTAGATGAACACCCTTCAGTTCTTTCTGGTTTTCTAGTTCTTATCGAGTCTCCGTCACTATGCAGGTATTGGCTCTAGCAGTTGTTTCGGCAGGCGTCGCGGTGGCCACCGTAACGGATTTAGAGTTCAATGCTTTTGGAGCCTGTATCGCCATCGCATGGATACTCCCGAGTGCAATAAACAAAATTCTGTGGTCTAATTTACAACAACAAGCAAACTGGACAGCACTTGCGTAAGTCACAAGTAATTCGGCATGTTGTGTTGTTCTTTACTTGTGTCAGTAATGTAAAGCGTTTGAGACAAGAATTGTGTGAAATGTAGGCTGATGTGGAAGACAACACCAATCACAATCTTCTTCTTAGTAGCATTGATGCCATGGCTGGATCCGCCTGGAGTCGTGTCGTTCAAATGGAACATAAACAATGTTACAACGATTCTCATATCGGCGTTGCTTGGTTTTCTCTTACAATGGTCTGGAGCACTGGCATTAGGGTAAGTTTCTACTACACCTTTTCGATTTTGACTAGAACTTGAAACGATCCAAGCCCGAATAATCCAAACAGGTAATACAAAGTTGATTTGAACACGAACCAGCCAAAATGATCTGGCCATACAAGGTTAATGGTTTTTTGGTATTTTCTTGTAGAGCAACTTCTGCAACATCTCATGTTGTTTTAGGACAATTTAAAACTTGCGTGATACTTCTTGGAGGATACCTTCTTTTGGATTCTGATCCGGGGCTTGCGAGCCTTTCTGGAGCCGTTGTTGCACTCGCCGGGATGTCGGTTTACACGTCATTTAACTTGAAAGAATCGAAGGAGGGATCAAATAAGCAGATTCCAATGCAAAATCCAGTACCAAAAACAAAAACCAGTGAAAATGGCAGTGAATGCTCAACAGTAATAAATACTACAAATGAAGTGTGAAAGTATACGAAGTGAAGAGATTGTACAGACAAAGAATCAAAGGCCCCATCAAGTTCTAATATTCTTTTCTTTATTATGTGTATATCAACCAACTGCTGAAGTTATTTTAATCGGTGCTTTGAAATTGAACTAATCGGTGCTTTGAAATTGAACTGATACTATGTCGTAATCATCTCGGACTGTCCCGGACTATCAAATTCTGAATCTTCAACTAAATTGCTTCTTTACTGGCTTGTGTAGCTGCTACATATTCTGTTTCTGTTGTGGATGTAACCACAACTGACTGCAACTTAGAAACCCAGCTTACAGCTCCATCAGCAACTTTGAACACATATCCTGTAGTAGATTTACTTTTATCCAAATCCCCTGCATAGTCAGAATCTACATACCCATTGATTAATAAGTTTGATCTTCCGTAACATAATGCAACATTTGAGGTCCCTTTGATATATCTCAGGATCCTCAACTTCGTATCGTAATCATCCAAGACTAATGGTCAAATAAAAGAAACTAGGATGCATTTCATTGAATATGAGCATCAGTCAATTAAAAGGAAACTCTTGTCAAACACCAATTACTGCTTGTTTCAACTCTCCTCCCTACTCAAAATTTAATATACAGGTTAAATAATTGAAAGGAAATTTTGGTGAAATCCCACCTAATCTATCAAGTCATCTCTTCAAATCCCTCCTAATCAAGCATCTTATGAGAATAATAAGTACCAAAAGGAACTTATTTTCCCACCAGACTATATATCTGAGATGGCTTTTAATATTTACAACCACAAAAAACAGTTCAGAGTTTCGCCCGTTCCTGAATCCCTCCCCATGTATTTCTATGTCGGATCATCCGTAAGATTTTAAGGGTTCAGTAATTTGTTTTCCAATTGATTTGTGCGAGTTGAGGCTGCTGATAAGCACCGGATGCAGGGGCCGTGGCTTCGGCAGCTGCCGCAGCCATGGTTTGAGGCTGTTGAAGCAGGGTATTAACATTAGGAGGAGCCACAGTTTGTGATGATTGATAAAGTCCGGCAATGGCAACATGACCGGCCTGTGCAGGAGAGAAAGGAAGATGTTGGCCATGAAGGGAGACATTGTACAACTGATTAACCAGCAAGTTGGATAAATTTTGCCCTGGTGCAGCCATCCAGACAGCCGAATCATTATTCTGCAAAAACAACATACAACCAAAGCATTGTGTTAAAAGAACTTGATTGCTAATGAAAACACTATGAAAATAGAATATTACACCACGCATATAAGCTAAATGAAAAGCACCACAATCACCATAAAATGTCTACAACCCAAAGCCGCCCAACTCAACCCAAAATGACCTAGACAAATAACCTGAATGGCCTTAACTCGAGATGACCTGGAAAACCCAAATGACCTGAATCCAAAATGAACTAAAATTTTAAAACCCAAATTGACCTGATCCAAAACCAACCAAACCCACCCAATTGACAGGTTTATGTAGAAGGAAATGGGAAGCAAAACCAACCAATGGTCCAGTTGTATATATATGATTTTCTTTCAATTGTGATACCGTAAGATCCTCATTGCCACTAGAGCTTCCAGATGTCACTGATGGAACAGATACATTGAAACCAACAGGTGGAGTCAATGGACCATAGCCTGATGGAATTGTGTACTGAGCAGGGTTTCCAGTATTAGTTCCAGGCTTGAACTGTGGAAGCGGTAACTTGACACCAGGTGCAGCTGCTTGAGGCGGCATGTACAGATTACCAGCCGGCAGTTGCTGAGGGAGCCCAGTCAGGTTCAAATATTGATGCATTGCATGCATATAAAAAGGATGAAGGTAGTGGGGATAAGGGAAGTAATTAGGCGGAAATGGCTGACGGAAAAGGGGAACTGCTTGTGGAGCTGCAGCAAAAGAGCTCTGCAGAGGTGGTGTAGAAGTACCAGATGGAACTGGAGAATTCCCAGCCTGCAAATTTGACAAATCAAGTGTAAAAGGCATGTATAGTAGCGTAAAGCATTAGCATAGGCTAAAAATTAATCGCACTATTGGAAAGGGAAAACAGTACAAGTTAGTTTTATGAAATTCATGGGAGTGTGATAACCTTTCTAGCCATATTCCACACTACTTAAGCCTCAACGGTAAACTGAAGAAAACACACTATAATCCCCCTAAGGAGATGCTAGGAATCAAATTTAGTAATGTAATCAATTAAATCAGAAAATATGATGGTTAATAGGACGAAGCAAGTCCTTACAGAAAAGTTTACAAGGCGAGAAACATCATGCGCCAAAGCCTCGGGTCCATCAAACTGTGCTAGGTGGCTTGAGGATGCTGGCATTAAACCAAATCCATAGCTAGGAGCATTTGGAATAGCACACTGGTTATCTTCAGGGTGCAAATGCACTTCCGGATTTGATTGATCAACTTTCAACTCTGCATCTGAAGAACTATTGCCTTCTGGTTCTGGCACTTCCTCCAACTCGGGAGGAGATTGCAGTTGATCAGCATTGTCCCCTTCCAGAGTTGATAACATACCTTCGCTTCTGCAGAAATCATAAAAAGCTTGGTAAGATATAAAATATTAAAAAAAAATTAGATCACTAGGAATACTGCTAAGAGGTCCCAAAACCTTTTATATACCCTTGGCAATTTAGGCAATTTTATAAACTATATTATTTATCCAACATGTTTAATCCCACCAAAAGATACAACCAAAAACTATTCTTTTGACTCTTAAACAGTTGAATGGCAAAACATCAGGCCTTGATCAACTAAAGAAGAAATTACAACCAACATATCACCACCAACACATCAAAACTAATTGATGAGATAAATAAAATGATTTTGAACCATTAGATACATTTATAGCATCAAACAAAATATAAAGTTCAGAAAGTAATGTTTACCAACCTAGAAGATGGTTCTCTGGCAGGCTCATCACTACCTAGAGAAGATTCAGCAGGACATCTAGAGGTAATCTCTGCACTACTGACATTATTGTGTATTGTTCCCAGACCAAAACTAGCATCAAAGCTTCCAAAAGTTAAAGCATTTTCAGAGACTTGGAAGTGGGTGGGAAAAATAACATGTCGACCGTTGGAAGCATTTGAATTAGCAAGCAATTGAGGATCAGCTTTAACAGTCAGAGTTGCAACCTCAGATGTGACAACTGTTGCACAAACAAGAACAAAGTGAAAAATCTACAATTTTAAAAAAAGGAAGTGCGAACAAAGGAGGTAATACCTTCCAGCAAGGTGGACTCCACATGTTTGGACAGCTTAACATGTTCAGAAGCCTTTGATTTGCCAGGTGTCTTATTTCCATGCATCAAGATAGGAAACTCAGAGGATGTCTTCTCAGTTTTAGATACATTAATATCATCAGGAACATGTTTGTTTCTTTGAATATTGTTTATTTCAACAGCTTCTCTCTGGCGTCCAATTTCACTTTTTATTGTATCCACCGTACCAGCATGGTGTGACACAGTTGGCACCACCACAGGATCTGAAGCAGATGAATAGACACCAGAAACAGTTGTGGAAGTAGAAGAAGCTGATGAACCATTAGAATTTTCTGCGGACTTCTCTTGACCTCTGATCAAAGAGACAAATGATGGAGCAGGAACGGTAGCAGAAGGTTCAACATCGGGTTGCACTGAAAAAGCTGTTGGCTTGTCTGTAGGTAAGCCATCTTTAGTTTCGCCATTAACGTCATTGACAGACAATTGGGATCCATAACTGTATATCCCATTTGGTAAAGTTGTATAGCCATTTGTTATAGCAGCTGTTCTGTAAAAGAACGGAACAAAATTTTTATGTAAGGTATAACACTATTCTCTATAACTAACAAATTAGCAAGCACATGAAAGTCATTTAAATGCTCATGTTTACTTCTTTGTACGAGAAGCTGCATTATTTTCCACTTTCCGATTCCCCCTTCGAGCAGATGCATTCCTTACACCTCCAGCATCTTAAAAGAACAAATCTTGTCATATTAGCAACTTATAAATTAGTAAATAGGTAATATTAGTGTACTAATGAATAAAGGAGAAGAAAAAATAATACTTTTACCAGCTGATGTGTAATAGTTCCCTCGACTGCCCTGGCCCCCTCGTCCTTGTACACCAGCTGTCTGCATATAAGAAGAAAGTTGTAATTAATATCTAACTAAACTAACGACAGAAAAATCCCAACTAAAAATAACCGATTTGTAAATTAAATTTAACTAAACTAACGAAAGCAAAATCCCAACTAAAAATTTAAGTAATACAATCAAATTACAGCAGCTAACCATCTTTTATGTTTCTTATTTTTCCATAACCGTTACCGACCAAACATCCAATAAACCACATTTATATATAACCAATAGGTTCAACAATGATCAAAATTGTAACAGCATGTAGAAAGAATTGAAGAAAAAAAAAATGAAGCGGAGTTCTATTTTCACCCATTAGAATGGAAAAAGTCCACTTGCCTCCTTTTTCTTATAACGTTTTCTTTTCACCTCATGAAATATATCTGCCAGCCAAGAAATGTAATAGTCATACATTATATATACTTTCAAGAACAAAGTAAACCATAAGACACATTAAGCAAAGACAAAGCTATTCACCAGCTATGGCTTTTTTACACATTTGCATGCAAACCATCATCAGTTATAGAAATGCCAGTTTTTTTTGTGACAAAAATAAATCTCTATCTTATCACAAATCAGCAAAGTAATGATGAAAATTTAGAGCTTCAACTTTTAGAATAAGAACCTCCAATCACTCGGATAAATATTGAAAACGATAACAAATTAATTGTTCGACCATTATAGCTGATAAATCAAAACAAAGCATACACATTATTAAATTTCTTAAATCTACTACCATTTCCCAGTAACCAAACAACAGATAACCTAAGAAAAACAAAACCCAAGTCCAAACTTCACTTTTCCGATAGCAAAATGCACAACTTTCATTAGCAGGAACATGAGAAAGACAAAAACTCAAAAAAAAAAAAGAACACAGAGAGAAAACAGATCATAAACTCATCAGACCCTAGAAACCGGAAAACTAGCAAGGAAAAAAAAAAGTCGAATGAGAAATATTTAAATCTCCATCCTTACCCAGATGAAGAAGCTTTTGGGCAGTTTCATTAGGATCCATAAAGCACTCCTTGAGGACTACAT